CTGAAAGAAAATGTGAAGGTTGTTGTGCCATTGTCAAAGGAAAGAACCAACAGGTGTTTTGAAGAAAAAGCATATGCCATTCGCACATTGAAATATTAGTGTTTAAATTGACTTGCTTTCTGGTGTGCATTTATAGATGTTTATGAAGTTAATTGTCTGAGATTTTGTGAATTCCCTTCATGAATAGCTTGGAATGCCAGTTAGATTAGTATAATCCTACTTTACTCAATGTTTCACTAAAGGGATGTATGGTATTCATCCAGCCCAGCTCATTCTGTTGGCTGCACATAAATTAATTTCCGTCAATACTTTTTTCTGGCTGTCTCTGTAGGTCAATCTATTGGCTGCACATAATATACAAGATTGGAATGTGCCAAGCATCTATTCAAAGGCAGGAGTATTTCTGGAGATGCTAAATGATTGCTTCGACCAGATACACGATCCATCATCTGAGCATTGAGTGCTAATGAGGTGTGGTGTAAATTATGATACATCATTGCAAGGAAGGAACTAATATGGTAATTTGGGAGGCTGCTCATATTGAGTTCCTGGAATTGGCACTTTTGCAAAGTTCAATTTGTGGTCATTTCCAGAACTGTTTACATGATTCATCTGTGGATTTCTGCTTCATATCCTTGAGTCTGCCTAAAAGTGGCTATTCAACTTTCATATTTTCTGAATGAAAACGGGTTAATGGGTCTTAGGCGTGGACGTACAGAACTAGGCTCCATAAAGATGCCTGGCACCATAATTCTTTTGCTGCAAGCTGATGCATTGACTAGTTGCTTAGCTTCAATTTATTTATATGTAGGCAACAAGAGAGTGAACTTAGAGTTAATTTGTCTTGAGAACAATGTGGTTGGACTTGAGAGAAAATTCAAGCACAAGGTAACTAATTTGTCTTTTGCATAGAGAACAATGTGGTTGGACTTTGGAACTCCTGTATGAGTATGTCGTGTAAAGATGTGGTAGGAATTGGAATCTTTGGTATGAGAAACATTGTGTGATAGGAGCTATGTATAACACTTCTGAACACTCTACCATATTACCAAGTCGAGCTAAATGTGTTAGTATGAACATTATATCTCCCACCATACTAATGTCTTTTGACTCACAGTGTACACATGATCGAAGCTGAAGGTTATTTCATATGGCATTATTTGTGGCCTTTTTCCCTTTTGTTCTGAAAGGAGGGTTATTGTGGTGGCGGCTAGGTGATGGGTATTTTTATGTAAAAGAGTTATCCTTGTGTACAGTTTCGTCTGGTTGGATACTAGACATAGACATAGGCAGAGGCAAGACAGGTGGCAGAACAAAGAACAAGAGCGATATGACCACAAGAGGGTCATGAGAAAAGGACAAAGAAACATCTCGGGCACAACAGGATGTAGACTATGATAACTTGTGAAAGACAACATGAAGATTTATGTATGCACGACCTGATTTAGGATCTAAACAACAATACCCTTTAGAGGTTGAATCATAAAAATTTGGACCAAGCAAGCTGTGAGTTTATTGGATATTCAAGCACAGACAAGTTTCGGAACCAACAACTGGGAGATTTAGAGTCTGTAGATCTGAATTCAAAAGCATAAGTCCTATGGAAACAGGTGCTGACAATTTATTACAAACTGGTCCTGTCCTTGTACTACTTCTGCAACTTCTCTATTGCTGCTCTCTCCGCCTCTTCAAGTATATGCAGAGCCAACCCCGATGAGCACATTGACACTCATGATCAGAATTATATTCTAGGCTGTGGACTCCTTTGCTAAAACCTCAAAAGGTATTTGACAAAATGCACCCTCATGGTGGGTAACATGCTATAACACCCATACTTTAGACAGAGTCTCGTATCGGCAACACACAAGAGAGATCCTGAGTATATAAGTTAGGAAATTTTACAGAAATGTCCCAAATAAGTCCTAATTTATCAACCTCTAGCCATTAATCATAGACTTACCAAAACTAATCAAGCACATATAAAAATTAAAAACCCAAATAAGTAAGGTTCTTTCTCTCCAAAAATCACACGCAAAGATCTCCTTCTATATTTTTAAGCGTAATTAGCAACATTAGATGCAAGATGGAAATGAAATTTCATGAATGAAGTAGAAAATAAGGTGATGAAATACAAAAAAACATATGCATACAAGATTCCAAAAATCTAAGCAAAATAAGACTTTTTTCAATGGGTATGGTTGAAATTCATTGAAAATATATAGATGAGTCAATATACAAAATTTGAGGAAAATTGGAGGTGATTTGGATTGATTTGGTATTAAAATTCATAGTTAAAATCGAGTTTAAAAAATTCTTTTGTGACACATGTAACAAACATGTATCACGCATGTATCTCACACACAGGTATACATGGATATACATGTGATACAAATATGATACATATGTGATACACAAATGATACAGTATGATAACATATCATTTTTTTTTCATGTTCATCTTCTATTTCGAATTTTCAATTCAAACCACCTCAAAACGCTACCAAATCATGCCAATACTGAGATTCAAGCTACTCGGGATGTACGCAATATATTCTAATAACACTCACTCAAAAGAAAGCAAACATTTGACCTTTGTTTTGGCTATAAATAACTAATTGGCTAATATTAGTAATATTTTATGAATTGACCAATTTTTGAAATAAGTTATTTATAAATGGACATAGCTAGTAGTTTCCCTATAAGTTAACAAGACTTAGACCCTAGTGATGCATTTTTAACCCGTGGGGGCTTAGGCCCCGAGAGGACAATATCACTAGCGGGTTGGACTGCTACAGATGGTATCAGAGCCACTCTTGTATCAGCCTTGCCAATGGTGGGTCAGAGTTCAACTGAGTTTAGGCAAATCCTGATTAGGCAGGGCAAACCTCAGTGTTGAGTCTAGGCGAATCTCATGCAGTGAGGCAAACCTTAGCGAGGGATCCTGGGTACATAAGTTAACAAGTCTTAGGCCCTAGTAACGCGTTTTAAACCAGTGAAGGCTTAGGCCAAGACCGGATAATATCACTAGCGGGTTGGGCTGTTACACAGGCGGTCTTTTCCTACTGTGCTATCATCGTATCATCAATGCTTATTAAGTCTCGCGCATGAACAGGAAGGGGCTATTTGATTTTATTTTTCTCAAGTGAGGCATGAATGTATTCGAGTGAACTTAGTAACCTGCAACTCTTTGAAGTGCTTTATTACCTAAAGGATTAGGAAATGAGAGAAATGTTGTTTGCGGAATGAATATCAAGAATTCCTATAGCCGCCTCCATGGGATTGTGGTGCAGTTGTTTTTTTGGTGTTGATAGAGGAGGTTTATGCACCTTCGGGTTTTGTGAAGCATTTTTATGTGTTTACTGCTTTTTTAGGTTTAGTTGATGAATTTGAGAAGCAGGTTCAGGAAACTAACTAATTAGGCTTACAAGCCATGTGCCTATATGATGCAAACAAACTATGCAGAAACTATGCTCAGATTTTAATTGCCTATCAAGTGAATCTTCAGTTATAAACTTTGCATGGCTGTATCAATCAAATATGCGTGCCTCCTTGAATAGTTCTTTAGTTAGTTAGAACCATGCTATCTGTATGGGCGAAAAGCTTCACATCACATATCTGACTTGGTCAACGGTGTAAAAGCCTTCGAAGGCAATTGTGCATTGGCATTATCGAATATCGAGCGATCAATGTCACGAGAGGAAGGTGGGTCGTCGATGAGGTCGAGGCGGTCCAACAAAGACGAGGACGAGGATGAGCACCTCTCTTCGGCGTGCAGTAACGGCTAGTTCTAGGATTTCTATTCCCTAGAGAATATTTCAATGAATATTCCCCCATTTGTATCACCTAGGGTTTTGTGGCTCATGTACCCTTATAAATAGAAAGATATGTAGTTATAGAAAGGGATTGTACACTTTTTGTAAAAGAACAATATATTGATATTTTCCGAAGATCCTCTCTTTTTCATATACATACAAAGTTTACCTTTTTACATCTTTATCTATCTTTTCTTCCCCGATCGAAGAAGAATCAGAATATTCAAAGGCTTATTATTATCCATCATAGTTAGAAGGATCATTGGGAAATATCACCCTTGTCGGGTGACTTTTATTCGATTATTTACTTAAATGCTATTTATTATCATTTATTGCTTTCTTTCATATTCTTGAATCATTATTGCTCTATTATTAGTCCAAATATAGTGTTACCAAACGACACACGTGCAATATTCTTCATAAATACACTAGATCTATAATTTGGATATTAATATTGACTTAGATGAACCCTTTTCACTATAAATCTGATTGTATAAAAATCTAGATCTAAATTTCGGGTCATACAGTTTGGCGCCCTCTGTGGGGATTTCTCAATCAAGTTTTTAGTTTCCATCAGGTCTATAACTCACATGATTTGCTAATCTAACAAACCCGAAATGTTATCCTTTTTCTATGTGTGTGCATACAAAAAACTCTATGACAGATAACCAAGGAAACAGAACAAAAGCGACGGACAATGTCCCGCTCAACCTCATGAGTGCCATCGACGAAGGGTATGACATCCAAGATGAGGAGGTGACTCTCACGGCATCCCCCGGACTAGGGAAGTCGCCTATACCTTTCTGCAGCATAACCAAACCGAATGGGAAGGGGCCTTTATGTCCACGAGAGAGGGAGCGCCACTCACTATGAGAAATTTTTAGAGAAAAGGAGAAAAGAAACAAAGTTAAATTAATGATTCAATAATGACCTTTTAATGTAATTTCGAGCAACTCTGATTATGATACTAATTGATACTAATAGTTACTACTCATGTAAAGAACTATGATTACATGATGTTTATTCACTAGCTACTATAAATAGATAAAAATAAAAATCAAACTACTCAATCATCTTTAACCACGGATCCATCACCGATCAAATAGTCTATTTTTTCATCAGGGTGCTCAAAGAAGTCTGCCACATCCAAGTGGGTGATGTCAAATTCATTTTTAGAGACAAAATTAGCTTATGAGCCTTTATTCTTTAGAGATGCTTGATAAAGCTCAACCAAATATTTTGGTATACGATAAATATTTGCCCAATGCCCTTTTCCAGCGCAACGATAGCATTCAGTTTCTGAACACTTTGCCTTTGGCTTCTCATTTTTTCCTTTCCACTTTTGGTGGTTATTTTTCTTTGGGGGATGATTAACACTAGAAAAATTTCTTCCTTGGCCACGGCCACGATCACAAACAGGGCCACGACCTTTTCCACGCTTAGCATAATGGGAACACACCTCATCCACTTCAGGCAATGGTGTAGCCCCGGTGGATCGATTATCGTGATTTCTCATGAGTAAGTCATTATTTCGTTCAGCCATAAGGAGAAGGGAAATCAACTCAGAGTACTTCTTGAAACCTTTCTCTCTGTACTGTTGTTGCAGGACCATATTGGAAGCATGAAACGTTGTGAACGTTTTTTCAAGCATATCATAGTCAGTGATACTATCTCCACAGAGTTTCAATTTAGAAGTAATTCTGAATATCGCCGAATTGTATTCAGAAACAGACTTAAAGTCTTGGAGCCGATTATCGTGATTTCTCATGAGCAAGTTATTATTTCGTTCAGTCACAAGGAGAAGAGAAATCAATTCATAGTACTTCTTGAAACCTTTCTCTCTGTACTGCTGTTGCAGGACCATATTGGAGGCATGAAACGTTGTGAACGTTTTTTCAAGCATATCATAGTATGTGATACTATCTCCACAAAGTTTCAATTTAGAAGTAATTCTGAACATCACCGAATTGTATTCAGAAATAGACTTAAAGTCTTAGAGCCTCAGATGAGCCCAATCATATCGTGCTTGTGGAAGTGTGGCAAGTTTTAAGTTATCATATCTTTCCTTTAAGCCATTCCACAAAACAAGTGGATCTTTGACCATGAGATATTCTATTTTCAACCCTTCATCAAGGTGATGGCGCAAGAAAATCAAGGCATTGACACATTCTTGGGTAGATGCTTTATTTTTATATATAATGGCGTCTCTAAGACCTATTGCATCTAAATGAATTCCAGCATCCAACACCCATAACATATAGTTCTTGCCCGAAATTTCAAGGGCAACAAACTTTCTTTTCATAATATGAGTCATAATTAAAAGAGGAGAAAATTATACCTTAGTCTTCTCAAAAAGTTTCTTGAGATGGTAGAGTCTCGTGCTGATAACGTGTTATGGTATAATAGAAAATAAAGTAAAACAAGAGGAATCTAGAGGGAGATAATTAATAAACTTTTCTTCATTGATATTCTTCAAGTGCTTGGGCCTATTTATAGGCATTTTTACTTGAAAGGATTTGGTCACTTGTTCAAAGTCTTGACATTTGTTTGAAAAGGCCTTGCCACTTGTTGAAGGCCATGCCACCGGGCCATAATTTACTTCCAAATAATTTCATAATACATGGACATTCACTTTTAATATTATTTATAACACATTCACCGATTATCTATAATTATTATGTAATTCGTTATAATATACTCCTATTAAGTAACATCGATAATCCTCTATAGGAGTGAAATCAGTGACAAAATACGCTTTCAATATGGACGGATTACATTTATCCACATATCTTGAAGCCTGTCTGGCCTCCGCTACCACTAAACATTTCCCCTTAATTTTAAATATCAGATTTATTAAACTATATGAATTTCAATTTTTTAATATGACTTTCTATCTCTTTTTTTCTTTTGTTTTTTTTTAGTTTTCGATTGGACATAAAGTGTAATTTAATGTCTTATCAGAGCTGTAAAAAAATCACTCAAAGCTGAAAGACTTTGGTGAACAAAAGAGAGAGAAAGAAGAATAAAGAGTCTGTCTGTCTGTAGAGAAAGGAAGAAAAGGGCTATTTTTTGTCGTGGATCTGCAGAGAAAAGCAATGGCAACATTTGGAGGGACAACACAGAAGTGTAAGGCTTGTGAGAAAACAGTGTATTTGGTGGATCAGCTTACTGCTGACAATAAGGTTTATCATAAAGCTTGTTTCAGATGCCACCATTGCAAGGGAACTCTCAAGGTCGTATTGACACTAAAAAAATCTTTTCTTAATTATGGTCTTTACTTTCTGCTTGCGTGAGATCATATGTGGTGTACATTTATATAGTTATTTCCTACTCTAGATAACAATTTCAAGCATGCTCTTCTATTTTCTAGTTACTTGGTGAGACGGGCTTAAATAGAGCAACACGGGGATTTAGGCTCAGCAGTAGTTATTGTTATGAGATGAGTTTAAATGGAGTAACATATAACTTGTTTGGGATTGAGGCATATATAGTTGTTGATGTAATTTTTGAGAGGAGTGGACTTGTGAATAGAATAGGGGCAAGAAAAGTAAGATAAGATTTGAATCTGCAGTAACAAGTAGCAACCATCAACCTGCAACTTCAATTCCTTTAATTTGTTCGCTGAAGAGAACAGAGAATTGAACTAACGGATGCTTTCTCCATTAGGTTATGTTTGTGAGATTGTTTTGACTTGCCTCTTTCAAAGGTTTGAGTTTTGGGATACTGTTTCTCCTTTGTATAAAAGATAACCAAGCGAATGTTCTGCAATTGTAAGGAAGAGTGATTGTTTGATAGTATTAGGACACATTATGTAACTTGACATCGATTAGACATCTATGGATTGGAGATTATCTCTGGTCTCCCTTAACTGTCATAAAATTTTGACAACACTAGACCGTGAATATGTGAAATTTATTGGGTTAGATATTCATACAAGCATCGAAATGAGATTCACCTCCCTGTAAAAGTTTCATATGATCAATTAAGAGGAAGAAAGTTTTTCTTCTTCTTAATGTGTCGCTATCAATGTCATTCCAACAACCAATGAGTTGTTTGTATCCCGATTTCCGCCCATCTGCATGCTAATCTTGACTGATTAAGTTGGCACTCCTGATTTATTAGTTGACATTATTCCCCTTTCAAACATGCTTAATACTAAGAAATTACAACTATGAAGTGAATATCTGTTTTTCGGAGTTATTATATTGTTCAAAGAGAGAACACTTTTTATTGGGTCATTTAGGATGTTAATGAAGAAATCATTTATTCAGGTCATATTAAGTCTTGGATGCTCTGGCAGATCATTCCGCTTTTCCTTATTATATCTTTTTACTATTGAAATCTTAGATCCTTGAATGTTATCTTAGTTTCTTTTTCCTAAAGCTTTGTGTACTGCCAAAGAATTTTGTCAAAAATGTTAACTTGTAATGGATCTGAAAACACGTTATAAGACTTAATCATATGGTTTTAATATTAATTTTTGAGTTTTTTTTTTGTTGCTGAAATTACACTTTTAAACCTTACTTTTTTTGGCAAAGATTCTTGTATTTAGTTGAAGCATTAATTCACATCTGCCGACGTTTTGAAAACAAGAAAACCGAAATCTCTTATCTTATGATTCTTGTTTGCACAAGGGCTGCCATTTCTTTGGAGTATGAAACCTTTGGCCAGATATGAATTATAGATGAGCAGGCAATGGGTAGCCCTGGTTTTAGTTGCATGAGGCAAAACGTATTTCTGACTTAGTGAACAACAAACACTAAATCCCGCTTCCCCTGAGGCATGGATATGGGTGAAGAATATGTGAGCTCTGGTCATCTTCTTCTTCTTATAGGATGCAAATACGCAAGAATGTTGATATGTATATAAGAGCATGGGAAGACACTCCATCATAATCATCATCTGTGTAAAAGCTTTGCTTTAAACTCTTTACCTGAGAAGTTAAGCGGGTTATCTGCAACTGCTTCCCCTTCTCATGCATTTCAGACCTCAGTTCAAAAGTTACCGTACTAACTTTATTGATTTTGAAAATTGACTTCACCTATCAGTATTTATGCTACTGCAATGGTTGCTCAACTCTAATTTGGGGAGGCCATAAGACTTTATTTCATATAACTCTGTCGGCGTGGTAATCTATGTCGGCAGTGCTATTTGAATTAGTCATACGCATGAACAGTACAGAACAAACTGCTACTGCTAGTGTAGACAGATCTAGTATTTAGAGAATATAGAATCTGCATATTCTTCTTTGCATCTCTAGCATCAATGAAGCATCTTGTTTTCATGTGGTTAAGTGTCTTGATCTTATTTTCTTGTCATTTTTAATATTCTGCAGCTGAGTAATTATAACTCCTTCGAAGGAGTGTTGTACTGTCGGCCTCACTTCGATCAACTATTCAAATTGACGGGAAGCCTGGATAAGAGTTTTGAAGGTTGTTAGAGTTGGCGAGCTGTTATTTCTTCTATTTCGGTTTTACATCACTCCTCCTTCTAAAGCTTGTCTTCTTAATTGTTATTTCTTTTTTTTAGGGGCTCCAAAAACAGTCAGGGAACGATCCGCTGATCAGGTATTCCATGACTTTTGCGTTTAACGATACTCCACGGTCACTACTTTCAAGACTCTTCCTCTAGCATCTTAAAGTATATGACAATTGTCCGTTTCATTTTACCAGCTGATATTATAATTAATTGTCTCGTATTAATCTCCCAGGGACAATCAAACAGTAAGGTTTCGAGTTTGTTTGGCGGAACTCAAGATAAATGTGTTGCTTGCAAGAAAACTGTCTACCCCCTGGAAAAGGTATTAAAAGTTGCTTTTGTTGAAATGGTAAATTAATTGGAAAAAAACACAGATGAGACAGATTAGGCCATTTCAAATTACTTTAATACGTATCTGAAAAATTGAGCTCTCTCTTAGAAAGCTATGTGTGAGTGCCTCTAAGTTGGCATTCAATCGTCTTATGATCTTATCACCTGATAATAAATTCTCATTGTTGAATTGCCCAACTGAAGTGCTCTTTTTAAACTACCAAGTGTTACCATCCAGTGTTAGGGGTGAGAGCCTCACGCCATAGGTGTAGGTTCAATTTTCACGGTTCTCTTTCTCCCTTCTCCTTTCCTGATCCGTCAACGTAGTCGAATTTTTTTTATTTTAAAAAAGCTCTATTTTCTTCTCAGATATAAGATGTTTACAGATTGTCACTGCTGCTTTTACAGGTAGCAGTGGATGGAACTTCATACCACAGGGCTTGTTTCAAGTGCAGCCATGGGGGATGTGTGATAAGTCCATCAAACTATGTAGCTCATGAACATAAGCTATACTGTAGGCACCATCACACTCAACTCTTCAAGGAGAGAGGTAACTTCAGCCAGATGGAAGATCATGACAAAAGTAAAGGGGTGACTGAGAACACAAAAGCATGAATCTTGCCATGAAATTTTTCGTGTTCTTTTGAGTTTGAAATATAAAGGGTAATTGGCTTTCAGTCGAGAGCTAGACCAGTTAGTTGTACTGGTTAACACATATACATCAAGAGTTATCAGTCACCTATGTCTATATATGGCATCTTCATAGAGGAGTTCCGTTCGTGTTGCTTTTAGTTCTGTGGATGT